ACTTCTATCTCCAAGTTAGCATAAAATTGTAAGAGAACTAAATTGGAGGCTGCAGTTTGAATGACAAGATCCTTCATTGGAAATAGCTTTACTCCAATTGCATGTAATACCATGATCAGTGCTAAATTGACAACTGCACCCACATCAATCAACACATGATTCATCTCAAAGGTACGTTCATATATACTAATTCTAGCCTTAGTGTAAAAATTAGTTACTTCCAATCTTTCCCCATACTTGCCAGCTTATGGTGCTTCAGACAGTGCAGCTTCAACAACATGGGCCTCTGCCTTGTCTTTCCTTTTCCTTGTAGCACTCTTTATCGTCGGTGTCTCTTGTACCATAAGTCGAACAAACTGACATTTGCCTTCTGGAGAAAGGTTGAAAAATTGCCCCCAGGTAAGACCCGTCACCTGTCTGTCACGAAAGCCTGCGACAAACTCAAACCCTGTCTCTCCTGCCATCAATCTTATCGGCGGATGTACTACTTTCCTTTGTGACAGATGCTTTTTCATTCTCTTCTGATCAACCACTGGGTCCAGTGATGTCCTGGCTCCTGAGAACCAGATGATTCGGTAAGCTGACTTCGTAACCAGGCTCTTTCACCAGCCATAACTTCTGGTTCCTCATGACTAAGTCTATTCCCATATGCCCTCTCACTTCCTATCAATTCCCTGACAAACTCCTCTGCTAGTTCCACCTTCAAGTCAGGCATATCTTGAATAATTATACCCTGGTTCCAGTTAGCTGACAAACTCCTCTGAATCTCATCCTCTCCCTTTCCACTTTGCCGTCCTTCCACCCTCTCACTAACTAGTTCTACTACCATACCCATCAGGACTGACGAATGACCCTGTGTGATTGGGCTTGCCTTTGCTACATTCATTTCGTCAGGCAGGGCATACTCCTGTTCTTTTCCTCCATTTACCTCATCTATTCTTTTCCCACCAGTATCCTGACTATTCATATTTCCATAAGGTTCCTCCCTTCTATGAAATCTTACCTGTGATCCTTCTGGTCCCAGGGGTCCAGTGGGTGTGGTTATATCATATCTATTCCCTGGATGCACATATGGGTTTGGTGGTGTTGTCAACAAATGACACTTGTACCTCAAACGACCGACTACCCCACATTGATTGCACACAAGGTGTGATCTATCTCGCAGCATATATGATTGTCTGTTTGGCTAACCATATCCATTATTTGCTCTCTGCCCACTGTCATTCCCCTAGTTAGCATATCCAGTAAATGTTAGGCATATGGAAAAAAGGGCCAAAGTTACCTGGCCTTTACATAGCATTATTTCTACCATACCCCTGCAGCCCCCATGTAGGGACCGGGCGTCATTACGGTATTACGGCCGAGTTGCGTCCCGACACTTTAGCCACAATAAATGGCACCTTCAGCATAACACCATATACGTCGTCGCTGTCCGTCCGACCGGATGCTGTCCATAGGATATATGAGAGGGCACATTTGGCGACTCATGGGAAGTAACTCGAAGGAA